CCTTCCCCTTCCTTTTCCCTGTCCCTACTCCCTTTTCCCTCCCCCATCCCTGCCCATCCCTTCCTTCCTCCACCCCCATTTATTTCTGCCCCCCTCCTCCCCCCCTTCTTTCAACTTAGAATACAGTAAAATAATCTTTGTGTAGCACTTCAATATATGAGAATTTGAATCTATATAACTGTTCTAAGAAGAAACTTGTGAGGTTATTATAGGACAAAATATAATAATAAATTGGCTGACTACATTAGACTTACAATAAATATGATAGGCATGAATTCCATTCAGATTCCGGTGGAATCCATTGGAATTCCATTCAGAATCCGGTGGAATCCACTGGAATTTGAGATTCCTACCATTCCGGCGGACTCCGGATGGAATTCCGACATTCTATGGGAGTCCGCTGGAGTCCGCCGGAACTCATGGGGGAGGGTAAAGTACTGCCCTCGTCAGTGTCATCACCACTGCTCTCAGGTTCTTGATCCTTGGCTACAGCACCCAGAAAGTCCTTCAACTTCAGCTTTGGGGTGGCTTTCAGGGCTGGATCCCCCTTTGGTTTGATTAAGGTGAAGTGTGTTCCCTTCGCCTTTGCAGTGTCCCGTTTCTTCTCCCATGCTTTGACGGCCTTCTTGAGATTGGTAGTGGCGACGGCCTTGGCATCCTTTCGCTCCTGTTCAACAACCTCCCATTCCTCAACAGCTGCCTTGTGCAACGCTCTGCCATCCTTCTTCCTCTCCTTCTCCCTCACAACCTCACGCATCTTCTTCTCTTTCTGCTGCGCTAGCTCATAGAACTCATCCCCACTCAAAAGCCAAGCCAGACCATCACCGACCAGCTTTATGGTCTTCTTCTTATTGTGCTTCTCTCCTCGTGCTGCCAGTTTTGCACAGAGCCACTTCGTGTAGGCTTCATGGAGGATGTTGGATGCCTGGAGCTCGAATGCGTGGACCTCAGTGTGAAGGTTCTGGCTTTGTGATTCCCGAAGCGCTGCCAGGAGAAGCAGCTCATTTGCTGTATTGGGCACAATAGCCAATGCCGCTGCTGCGTTGTTGATGGGAATGGAATTTTGCTGGACAGTACAGGTGGTAGTGGTAGGCATGGGATCAGCAGCAGTAGTGGGAGTGGGAGTGGCAAGGAAGGCAAGGTTGGTCTTTTTGAGGGTGGCAACAGCTCCTTCGAGGATTTCGAGGTGAGTGGTGGTTCTGGTTGAATGGCGTGTGCATGTGGAATTTACTGTTGTTTCATTTTGTGTGGATGATGGCCTGGCCTGCTGACCCCCTGAGATAACATCAGCATCGGTATCTGGAGTATCTCCCACGATTTGAAGGTCCCTCAACATGGTGGCAAGAATCTGGACAGGCTGAGAGGAAGTAGGGACAGGAAGGTGGCTCTGGATGGACGTCTCCTTGCTTGGTGCAAGCATATCAGCAGTAATGACATTGGGATTGAATGGCCAGATGCCGGTCTTGCGGAAAGCAGTCTTGATGAGTTCTGGGGTCAGAGTGGTAATGTAGGCCTTAGATATGACCTGGAGAAAATTTCCCTTGTCAATCGCATTCCCAGTTGTATGAAGCAGTGCATCGCGCTCCACACCGAGATAGTGTTTCAGCACAGCAAACACGACCACATCAAGACCTTGATAGACATGTGTCCCATGTGCAACATAGCAGATGACTATGACCATGTGGAGGCAAGCAAGAAGGAGAAAGGCAACCGTGTAGTGTGAGTTGTGTCCATCAACAATTAGTAAGCGGTACTCGCCATTTGCCTTTTCTCGCATCGCTTTCTCAAATAACTTCATCCAGGATGCGCCGATTTCACCATCTGTCCAGCCCTTCTGCTGGTATCCGATCCTAGCAGAAGATTTATTTACAGACATGAAGATAGTGAATAGAATGACATACGATGCATTAAGGGGATTATTTTCCCCCCATTTGACCTGGTAGGCACTCCCCTTGAAGATAACGGCAGGAGGTGTGCTTGTGCCATCTGCACAGATCGTAACGATGGTGGTAATATTTTCATGCATTCCAGAGCGCTGCTGGTAGGGTGCAGCTTTTGTATGGGGGCTGAAAACATACTCACGCTCACCACCTCCCTGGGCCTGTATTCCAACTTCATCTGTTGCATACGTGTTCTCCTCTTTGATCTTGTATTTTGTGATGGTCTCCCCAAGAAGTTTCCACCGCGCCTCGTTGTTGTGCGGATTTGTTGTGCATCCTCATTTGTCTTCTAGTGGTCAGGAACATGAGATCTTGATCTGTTCGGAATACTTTTTGGAAAAGCGGTAAGTCCAATTCTCTCCGACATCTTTGATGGGAAAGGAAGTGCCAAGGCGCACACTGCATATGTCATCGACATGCTCCTTCAGCCGTGCATGACTGAGAGGGAACCCACGATGCGCCATCTCATTGATGAAATCGATGACAATGTCAACCTCAGAATCAGTAAGCCAGGATCAATCTGCACTTGCTCGTTCACGCGACATTCCACCTGCAACATGTCGTTTCAAGGTTGTATAACTGAGTTTGATATGATTTCCTGTCAAAAAATGAGTTGAATGTCATTTAGAATAGCATTAATATACTTACCAGTCTCTTCCAAGGGGGTAGCGGGACGTGGATCCCGAACCAAGGGTTGGGGGGGGGGTGCTCGGCCGAAGGCTGGGAAAAAAAAGTGACACCCATCAATTTGGTGGCAGAAGTGGTCAGTGACCTGCCTGTTGTGATGTTGGATCGTTCTAGTAGATGTCCTAGCTGCTGTAGATACTTACTTGGCCATAGTAGACAGCGAGAAGAAATTTTGAACCCCCCAACATCTGGTGAAGAAATCACGGTAATGAATTTAACAAAAACATAGACCATGGATACTATTGCTAATTGAGGTTGAAGTAAGAGTCAAATTATGGCCAACAGCTTCATTGTGCAGAGTGTACTGTAGCATTTCAATCAATTCGACGGTCACGCATCACGGGGCCCTTCAAGTTGCTGAAATGTCACAGTGGTCATGCAGATTTCCGTAAGGTGTCGAATTCATCTGGTGGTCATGTGACAAATGTCAAAATTTTTCGTTGCCTGTGGCACTAAATAGTCGAAAATTTGCCCAAAATTTCGGCTTGTCACGGTGAATTTCTGAGGTTGTCGAAACCAAAATTTTGACAGGCTTGTCACGCATCACGGGCCCTGTTGAATTGAACGAAATGCTACAGCAATATAGATGTGCATGTTGGTGCCGGTGGGATGAGTAACTTGAACATGCATCGAGACTCGAAAACATGCAGAGAGAACAAGGCCACCAACACGCAACCCCCACAAAAGAAAGAGAAGTCCTCAGCTTTTTTAACCAGAAAACAAAGGGGGTGTTGGGATAAAAAAAAAGACCTAGGGTCGATTTTTTTGGTAGTGAGCGCTGGGCTGAACCAACCACCCAACGTAATCAGGCACATGTCTATTTTAGGAAATATGATGTCACCGTTGTGACATTGTCTTCCTGTCCTCGGGCCTCTCGACGTTGAACATGCATTGCAGACCCAATGCATGGGCACCTGCACAAGGTAAATACAAATGAGGTGATATCAGAATGGTTTGACATGAAGATGTAAGTATGTTTTACATTGAAACCCTAACAGAAAGTGGGTTTACCAATTGACCACATCCCACTGGATCATATTGCCGGTGGTCAGCTCTGCTCGGGATCCACAAAAGCAATCCTCCAATTGACAACCTTATGGTTTCATTTTTTGCACTGACCTCATGTTTCCTTGCTGTAACGGTTGCCACACTAAGGAAAGTTATCAATG